CTTTCTAACAATGTGCTTTTTATATCATTTATATGTATAATATGATTGCTAGATACCATTTCATGCGATAAAACGTTAGGATCTTAATTTTTAGGCGATAGTAGAACATACCTTGCGCTTTCGCTTAAGGAATGAAATATCACCCCATTTCGTCGTAGATGTCATCCTTGTAACAACAAGAGATAACTACAGGAAATACCGATACCGTTACAGCCTATTAACAGTCTACTGATGAACTTAGACCTCACCCATAGTTTGCTTCATATGGATATCTGCCCGCAACCGCAGATTTTTTAAATTGTTATCAGATGATGCTGCTGCTTTGTTCGCTGATTTGTTTGCATGTCGTCTCTTACGACACCCACGGGATGATATGGGGCAGTGGATATTCTTCCACCGCCACTACAGGGTAATTTTACTGCCAAGCGTAATGATTAAGGTATATCCTCCCAAAAACGGGAAGCGCCCAAATCCTTCTGCACAATTTAAATATCAGATATCAGAACACACACACACACACACACACACATACACACACACACACACACACACACACACACACGCACACACACACGCGCGCGCGCGCACGCACGCACGTACGCACGCACGCATGCACGCACGCACGCTCACGTAACAAACGCACGCTCACGTAAAGTACGTCTATCCACTGCGTCAAACGCTGCTAGGTGTAATTTTGCAGCATCAGCTTATATGTGACAGGAGTACTCTATACAAGACCAGACTTGCGCTTTATATACGGTAAGAAGCTGCCCCAGCATGAAGTACCGCCGCACCCTTTCTAGAACACCCAGTTTAGAATTAATATGAATTCAGAATTATTACCCTAGTAGCTTACGTTAAAAGCATCCTTTAGGGAATTAATTCGAATGAGTTTGTAACTGTTTTTCATATGCGGCGGTAGTGACATAACATCAGGTGAGCTGCATTCTTGTTTGTCCTCACTGATATAAATAATATATTACTTAGGTTTCTGATGAGCTGAATACCTAAGTGTAATTAATAGAATCAGGCGTTACTTTGCGGAAATCCATTATATAAAAGCTTTTACAAAAATTTACTTCGCAAATATCCGCGTTTTAAAATAAAATGATGTGTCTTACCTAGTATGAAGAAGCACCTCCCGCCCTCCCTCAATTGCGTGCACTATCCCCGTCAATGCCTCGTGTAGAGGCGAAACACGTGTCGTATTATCGTCAGTGGTGTGTCTTGCCTAGTGTAGTGGCGTTGGAAGTAGCGGTGCTGGGATTAGTGATGACGGGGATAGTGCACGCAATTGAGGGAGGGCGGAGGGTGCTTCTTCATACTAGGTAAGACACATCATTTTATTTTATAACGCGGATATTTGCGAAGTAAATTTTTGTAAAAGCTTTTATACCTAAGTGTGGCAATACAGGCAAACATAAATTAATATTAATAATCCAATTATGTCGCCATTTAGTGACTGTGTAAGAATATCCACCACCTCACAGACCACGGGTATCGAACAGAGGTAAACTGAACAGGAGATGGGCTGCAGCATCTTTCTGATAACAACTAAAAGTATTTAAAATCTACGGTTAATAACCGTCTACAAATCGTGGTAACTGAAGCGAAATTCCCTCCATGAATATATAGCAATGAGTTAAGGCGATGAGTGCTTGTTCGAATCCAACCGGGAACTTTGTATGGACAACAAGTAATTGTTCCGGGTCTGAATGTTTGTGCTTGTAAAATTTATGTATATATACTACCTCCACGATTCAGAAGAAAATCCTATAGGGAGTAACATTAAAAAAAAAACAAATAAATATTACAATAAATTTCGAGAACAAATTTTACCCCTAATAAAGGAAAAATTCGGGATGAAGTTTTTAGACAATATTGAGATTATGATATTCCTTTGCCCACTCGAAGGGTTAAAAAAATAAACTTTAAAAAAAAGTAAAAGCTAACTTTACATACATAAAAAGAACAAAATAAAATCCCATTGTGAAGTCGGGGATTTAATTCTTATCTACACTATATCTTGGCAACGACTTCAGGCTTTAACTTTTTATTAAATGTTAATTTTCAAATGAACAAAAGTGAAAACATCTTAACATTTATTTCAAACGAAGTAGTATTCTGTAAGACCGTGGTCATTCCCTAGTCAAGCCTAACCATTCGTGCTACAACAATACAACTATACAACTATATACTATCATGCTTATTACTGTTTAAAGACTAATTCCAATAAATTATACATAAAGGAGATGTATGAAATTGGGTTCTTGACATCGTTCATAACAGTTATAGAAAAATATGTAAGGAGGCTGGTTGGGTCTTCTCACTGAATGGCCATTCTTAGCCTTTGAGCGATAAAAGGACCAGCCCTCTTAAACACCAGCAGCGACAACCAGTCGCAGATACAGACCCTTCAAGAACTTCACCGTACGTTCACTACACAATTAATATTAAGTTTTACACGTGGTTGAGCCGTGCTGCAGCTGTATTTATTTATTTTATTTAATAATTTATTTACACACAAAGTAATGTTACAATGAGAATAAAAAAAAAAAGATATTTTGTACAAAGGCACTGCTTATTTCATATTGTAATTTCTTTCAGCAGGCCTGATACTGGAAAAATTCAAAGAGAAGCACATTTAGTGTGCACTTTCATAATAAAATTTTATTATATTAATAATTTTAATATAAAGTAAAGATAATAAAAACATATATCCATACAAACATACACATACCCAAACACTACTATACATATATAATAAATATAGATACACACACACACACACACACACACATATATATATATATATATACAAGTCATACATTAAATCATTGGGACAACAAAGAAAGAACTTGCTCTTTAACTCCACTTGCCTTTAAAGTTCACTGCGTTTTAAACACGGACACTGTTTGAGCTTCACGAATTGCAGCAGGAAGAGAATTCCATAACCTAACTGCGTGTTCTAAAAGAGTGAGAATAGGACTTAGTTCCTATTATATATTATGGTTGTAGCACAAATGGATGGTTCGACAGGAGTTGGAACCACGTGAAATAGCAGCGTAATGCTCTGTGTTTTGTATGGTGAGTGTAGAGAACCGGAGATCCTTTATATTGCAAACAAGGCTCCATTATCAACCGACTCAAAAAGGAGGAGGTTTACAATTCGTCGGAAAATTTATTTTTTTATGTATGTTCACCGATTACTCGAAGGCGCCTGAACCGATTTCAAAAATTATTTTTTGTTTCCAAGAGTATACTTTCATACATAATTTATATTTTATCGAAATCGATCAAGCAGTTTTTAAAAAATCTACAATAAATTATATTTATATTCAAGTCGATTGTACATTCTTTTTAATTTTACCACTTTTAGTCCTCAGAAGTAATAGCGACTCTGCATTTTGATTTGATTTTACACAATATCTACTTATCATTAGGTGAACGGTGTGCTCTTTTGTCACGCTATTATCTGAATCTGATCTGATTCGAACAATTAATACTGACTCAAGCCTATATAACTGATGATTATACAGCTTTTTCTTATCCTGTAGTTTCTACTTATTGCTTTCCCGTGTCAAATTCTTAGCTGGGATAAGAAGGATAACAAAGTTTTGACGAAAAAATATTATTGTTAATTTTCACGGCAACTTACAGTAAGCCTATTAAAATTTTATTTAATCTCGTAGTAAGCAGGCAGAGCATCAAATAAAATTTTGATTAAATCTAAGCTTTAACTTGATTTAATTTTGATGATCTCCAACGTTGTAAATTTATTTTTCGTCACGGAACGTCCCAAGTTTGTTTTTCGTTGACATGTTTTGCTAAAAGTTGACTTTTGAATTTATCTTTAAGCAGGCAATCGTGAGATTGTTATCTTTAAAATTTTGCCTGAAATAAACAACAATACTATTTTAAAAATTTTTAAAATTACCGGTATAGGAAACAACTCTGTTACATCCCTTGTTCACATCCCAATTGAATTTTGATCCTACCAACATAATTTCTATCTACTTCCAGTGTTTGACTTGCCGTATGATGGAATCATCGGTAGCGACTTCCTTATCAAATTATATTGCAAAATTAATTATGATAACAACACCTTAAAAGTAAATAAAGGTGAAATAGAGCTTTGTTTCACTAAGCCAGTCTATACTATTGCACCTCGATGTGAAACTATCATAGAGTGTTCTGTAAGGAATCCGGACATTAAAGAAGGACTTGTTCTCGATCAGAACCCCGTAAACTTGCTCCTAATAGCTAACAGCATCGTAAAAGTGAAATCAAATTCAAGAATTAATATCTCCGTAGTAAATACCTCCGAAAGCGAATTAATCGTCGATTCCGATCTAAAACTAACGCTACAACCATTGGAAAATAAATATCATCATCAAATATTTCATACTCGTTCAAACGTTTCACAAAATAACGTTCTTACTCGCACCGAAAAAACTCTAAAACTAACTAAACTCTCTTAAGATTGTCACACCTAAACAAAGAAGAGCAAGAAGCACTATGCGATCTTTGCTGTACTTACTCCGATATCTTTCATCTGCCTGGCGATAAATTAACTAACACAAACGTCTTGCAACACGAAATTCCTACTTCGTCTTCCATACCAATTAACACTAAGTCTTATCGGTTCCCTGACATTCATAAACCAGAAGTTGAACGCCAAATAAATAAAATGCTTGACGATGGCATCATAAAACCCTCGACATCACCCTGGTCACCAATCTGGATAGTTCCAAATAAAATCGATGCGTCCGGGCAACGTAAATGGCGCGTAGTCATAGATTACCACCATCTAAACGACATCACTATAGGAGATTCCTATCCGATACCCAAAATAACAGAAATTCTTGATCAGTTACGGAAATGTAAATACTTTAGCACCTTAGATCTTGCTTCCGGTTTCCACCAGATAAGAATGTCCGAAAAGGACGCTCCCAAAAACTGCCTTCTCTGTCCCGCAAAGACACTTTAAATTTACAAGAATGCCTTTTGGGCTAAAAAACGCCCCTTCAACTTTCCAAAGATTGATGAACACCGCCCTATCTGGCCTACAAGGACTCCAGTGCTTCGTCTACCTAGATGTCGTCTACCTAGATGATATAGTTATTTACTCATATGATCCTCAAATACACATAAATAACCTTTCCAACGTCTTTGAGAGACTCCGACACTTCAATCTTAAGCTCCAACCAGATAAATGCAAATTTCTCCGAAAGGAAGTATCATATCTTGGTCATATCATTACCAACGAGGGGGTAAAGCCAAATCCAAAGAAAACCAAAGCAGTTCGACAATTTCCCCAACCTCGATGTCCAAGGGACATCAAATCTTTTATGGAATTAGTGTCATACTATCGAAGATTTATACCAAATTTATCCAAAATTGCAAAACCTCTTACAAACCTTCTGAAAAAAAATGTTCCATTCGATTGGCGAAATGAGCAACAACTAGCTTTCGAAACTCTAAAAAATTGTTTGACTACTGCTCCAATATTAGCCTACCCAGACTTCACAAAGCCTTTCGTGTTGACTTGTGATGCATCAAACTTTGCTATTTCGGCCATATTATCACAAGGTCCCATAGGGAATGATAGACCTGTCGCTTATGCTTCAAGAACTTTAAATAAAGCCGAGTGTAACTACAGTATAACAGAAAAGGAATGCTTAGCAATTCTTTTCGGTACTAAAGTATTTAGGCCATACCTATATGGTCGTAGTTTCAAAATTATTACCGACCACCGCCCACTTAAGTGGTTATTTAACTGCAAAGACCCGGGGTCAAAACTAGTAAGGTGTAGGCTAAAATTAGAAGAGTTCGACTACGAGGTCGAATACAAAAAGGGCAAGATTAACAGTAAGTCCGCGTTACTGTTAATCTTGCCCTGTTTTTTTGCATTATCCCGTTTCCCTGTTAATCCGATTGTACAAAATGATACTATCTCAGATCCACAACCTTCCACCTCCCACGAAGAACCTCAAACTACTCAAGATCCCGAACTTCCTTCAGACATTCTCGAAGAACTCATTGAACGGGGTGACTTGAACCTCAGTCCATCAGAACTGTTGAATCCCGAAAACACTGATTCAATTCCATTAGACGCAAAATCCCCACAAAATTCCTGTAACGAATCAAACAAAGACTCTGAAAACGTCCGAAACGTGAAACGTGAAAATGTAGAGTAATCATCGTTGCAACCTGGCCCATTGCAACGACGATTACTCTGCATTCCTTAAAACATTTTCTAAAAAGGATGAGACATTTAATACTTACATAAAGGAATATAATGAGAGTCTTTTAAAAAGCAACTGCGAAACAATCCTAGTTCCCGAATCTATCGATTTTGACGAATCAAATCCCTACCTTGAGGATATTCTTTCCGGTTTAAGTGACACAAAGGTCTTAAACGAAAAACGAGAACTTCACTCATTTAAAAAGATAAAGTCAAAGGGCAAAACTTATTATCTTCTCTTCACAAAAGTATATTATTTTGATGACTGCTCCTATCCCGAAATCTTCAAAACCTTAAAAGATGCCAGGGACGACATTATACTTTCAGGTAATATTAGTGAAATCGCAGTTTCTGATTTTAAGAATCTGTTTGAACAACATTCGTTTGTCAAAATATACGGCATGCTTATGTATTTATATAACAATACAAATATAAAAATAAATATATATCACAACTCCATAATATACCCTGTACCGACAAAGCTATCGAAAATTCTAAAAGAAAATTACGCTATACCAATAGCCGGTCATTTAGGATCAAATAAAATGTATAATAGAATTAAAGAACGTTATTATTGGAAAAACGTGCGCGCAGATATAGAGAAATACACACAAAATTGCAAACTTTGCCAAACAAATTAACCGTTACGCAAGATTAACCGGTCTCCTATGCAAATCACAACCACTTCTACTCGCCCATTTGAGAAAATAAGCCTAGACATAGTAGGCCCCTTACCCGAAGCTGGTTTTCACAAACTCCGATTTATACTCACCCTTCAAGATGATCTAACCAAATTTTCTACAGCCTATGTATACAATTTCCAACGTTACCGCAGAAGAAACATGCGAAGCTCTAGTTCACTTCATTTCACAATTGGGGATCCCTAAATCCATAATTACCGATCAAGGAACAAATTTTACGGCTGACCTTTTCAAACATACATGTGAATTTTTAAATATAAGACAGATATGGTCCTCTCCGTATCATCCCCAGACTCAAGGTGCTCTCGAAAGGAGCCATGCCACTTTGAAAGAGTACCTTAAGTCCTTCGTGAACGAAAACCAAACCGATTGGCACAAATATACAATACGGCGATGTTAGCCTACAACAGTAACGTCCATACAACAACTCAGTTTACCCCTTACGAACTTCTTTTTGGTCATAAGCCGTATATTCCCGATGCTATTTTCGAATCAAAAAGTAACGTTACCTATGCTGATTACATTAAAATGCTTCAGCATCGATTAAAGATTTCTCGAGAGAAAGCTCAACAAAATATACAAATTTCGAAAGAAAAGTCTAAAACATACTACGACAGAAACTCTCGCATGGTCAAATATAAAATAGGAGATTACGTCTACATTAAAAATCATCTTCGTCTTCGCAAAGCCCTCTCCCCCATTTGGAAGGGGCCCTACAAAGTTGTCAAGGTCCACAGTAATAATACCCTTACTCTACTCATTAACAGACGCCATGTTAAACACCACTTCGATGAAATGAAATACGCACATGACATAAGTTCTTAAATATTAAAATTACACTCATTTTAAGACATATACTTTAACACTCACAATTCATTTATACACTTTTTCTTTTACATTATATACGCCTTATTATACAATTCAAACCTAGTAAGCCCTTAATTATTATTATTTACAGAACCGCCACCGCATTTTGCGCTATTATTATTGCAACCGGCAATGGTCAATATATTGAACGCATCGACAAGAGCCCTGGTATATTCTTCGACCCTGTTGGTACATTGAAGATAATTAATGATCAATTTCACATCGTTATTCCGGTAGACGTACATCCAATCCAACACCATTTGGTATAACCTATATAATTTGTAAGAGAGGAAAGTCTTTCAGAGAGCATTTTAATTTTAACAAAGAAAATACAGAAAATCATCATCACACTGATCAACCACAGCTACGCATAGAGTAGCCATAAACTCACTCAAGGGTGAGTTTCCTCTCAACGGGGGCGTTGTTATAGATCCCCTTTTAATAGGGATCCGCTGACACAAAGCACACAGTCAGCACTCTCTTAGTAGCTTCGGTACTATTCCATTTTTAAACACTAGCAGTACGGCAGTCAGTCATACACTCTCATCCGAAATACTCGCCTCTCAATTTCAATTCCTAATTTGTGTCATTCTATAATAAAATCTAGTTGTAATTTCTGAATAGTTTTTTTTTAAAGATATTTCGTTAAGCCCCGTATAACAGTACCTTCCTAAATAATTGAGTTTTCAGATTATTGTATCTCTATTATATATTTGTATACTATAAATGTATATTTTTGGCAGGGCCTTTGTGTCATACAGTGACATTCTCAGAAGGGCTAGAACTCAGAGCCGTAATTCCAGTAAATAAAACAGTTACATTTTGTTTTAGCTAGTGTTGCCATAACATTGAATAGAATTGTTAGATAGTACTATGATTGAGATAATGTATTATTGTAGGAAGTTATATGTAAGAGACTTATTTTCAACCATATCACTTTTATTTTTATTATTACGGATAGTATAGTTATTACTAATAATAACTTAATATAAAAATATTTTGTGTTTGTGTGTTGTGTTGGTAGTCTTACAAAGTGTATACGAAAATAGTATGAATATAGTAAATGGCAGCACTTGAATAGAGTAAAATGATTTTAGTCATTTAACATTCCCAAAAATGTTTGTTTTTTTCTTTAATTAAAATATATTTTATTTGAAAAATCATGGAAAAATAATAAAAGTCATTTTATATATAACTTATTTCTAGACGCAATAATTTTTGTCAACTATGTTTCTGCCATTGCTCTTTGATAAAAACGCTTTCGAACGTCGCCAAGATTGTTCGTATCGGTTGAGCTGTTCAAAAAATATAAGAGGTTTACACAAACACACGCACGCACGCACGCATTCACGCATGCACGCACTCACGCACCCACGCATGCACGACGCACGCTTGCATGCACGCGTGCACGTACGCACACACGCAAACGCACTCGTGCGCTCTCAGGCACACGCGCGCTCGCAGACACACACACACACACACACACACACACACACACACACACACACACACACACACACATACACACAAACACGCACACACACATCGAATATATTTCATATTTGAAAGTAAACTATACTAATATGATGTGTTAGTGTTAACAATTGTTGGTAAACCTAATAAAAAAAAAGAGTACATCTACCATGTCATATCCTCCCGTAGACATCGTATGAGGCGAAAGCGGGATATTGAAACAAGAAATGGGCAGCATTCTGAAATATTATTTATATTTTATATTATTTAGCTTTGAAATGGATAAACCAAACTATGGATATTCCTAACCGTAGAAGCAGATGATAAAAAAAATTAAAAAGTTTTTACACTTTATTTATTTTTGCATTTTAGAGAACCGGAGACCCTTTTTACTGGAAAAGAGGCATTCCATCATAGTCCTCACGGGTGACAACGTATCTGCATTTTAATTCCCAAATGAGGATAAATGTAGATGTCTATGGGCCACAGCAACCACTTACCATAAAGTGGACTGTGTGCTCGTTTATCACCCTATCCTATAAAAAAAAATTGTGTTTCGCACCTGCCTACAATTGTGTTTGGCACCCAGGACTGACTGGCAGAGAATGTCATATGGCATTAAATCCGCCCTATGTACCCTTTACCTTAAGTTGTTACATTTAAGTTTAAAAAAAAAAAAAAAAAAAAAAAAAACAAAAAAGAAAAGTGACAGGTGACAATTGTCCATATTTTGAAATATATTGTTTAAAATAACTATTTATTATAATATTAATTTATATATAATTATTGATGCGAAAAAGGGAAAAAGGGTGTAAATTTCTATAAGCACAAATTTCACGAAAAAATTTTAGGAGTAAAAAACGGACATTTTCGTGAACACCGCCGGATTTTGATGTTTGCCGAACCAAATCAGAAAGTGGCAGATTGTGTATTATCTCATATAAGGAAAGATTCCACGCCACGCAAGCCTTACAATTCCAACCCTGACATCAATAAATCAGGTGAGCCTAGCAATATGACTACTCGAAAGCATAAACACGACAACGACTTCTCAGAGGCTCTCAATAATTTTACCTCAGAGATACGTAAAACTTTACATGACTGGAAAAAGGAAATTCAAGATGAAATATCAGGAATTAAAAATAATTTAGACTTCGTATTAAAAAACGATCTTGAGAAACTAAATGCATCCTTTGCTGAGATCATGTCGGAACTAAGCAGCGTCCGTCAGGAATATCACGAGATTAAAAAGTCGGTCATATCTCTTGACCTAAAGTACAACGAGACAATGAAGCAAATCACAGTTTTAGAAAACTCTGTACAATTCAATTGCGACCAATATGACCATGTTCAAAAGAAAATGGAATTATTATCTGTTAACAAAAAAGCAATCGAATCACTAGAATCTAAAATGGACTTATTGACTAACGAACACAGACTATTACAATTGGAAATTAACACAAATAATCAAAGAGATCGCCTTTTGAACTTAGAGATCGTCGGCGTTCCTGAAATCAAGGATGAAGACTTAACCAATTTAATTATATCCATTGCTAAGCAGTCTAATGTAACTATTTCCCCTAATGATATATTAGAAGTTAATCGTGTCACACCGAAAATCAAACAACAGGGCCGCCCGAAAAATATAATTGCAAAGCTTAAATCCCGTCTTCTAAAGGACAACATAATCTCTGGCACTCGAAAAAACCGACTGACCACCAAACACCTTGCCATACATGGCAGCGTTCGTCCCGTATATGTCAATGAGCATCTTACACAGTGCAATAAACTTCTACTAAAGAAATGTAGGGAGACGGCGAAACTTAAGCAGTATCAATATGTGTGGACAAAAAACGGGAGGATCTACGTCAGGAAGAACGACACATCTCCGGCTTTGCATATATCACAGGAA